TCACCAATCTCCTTTAAGATACAGTTTAATTATTTTTGAAGACTTGGAGTTGAGATTCTAATATTGTTCCTAATCTTGCATTTGCTGTTCTTATATATTTTTTAAAATAATTTTCTCTGAGGTCAAGAATTATGTATAAAGACACAAATATAGTTTCACAAGTTCTGGATTTAATTCCAAAATAATTTGTTCTCCAGAAGATGTGATACCTCTTCATATGTACTTTTTATTTTAGATTATGCTACTTTATAACCCTTGAAGGACAATGTCATATAACCCTGAAAGGAGGAAACATGAGGAAATTATTGTTAGCATTTTATCTATAAAAAATGGAACATGTCAGTAACATTCACCCAAGAGTGTGTGTGACTCACTTCAGATGTCAGAATTCTGGGTTGAACAGCCTGGGCTCTGAAATGTGTGCATGTCAGATGATTTGCTAATGAGCAACATATAGCTCCCACTGGGGAGTGAAAAAAATATATAAACAGAGATATAGAATTAAAATAACTTTATGAATGGCAGTTTAATTTCTCCACAAAATCTCTATGTGCAAGCTTAGTGTGCTCCAAATGGTAGCTTATGTAGCACAGCACTTACATTCAAAATGCTATACTCAAAATTATCTCAAAGTTAAAAAGAAGCATACACCCCTTGGCTGTATACCATACCCTCCGCATGTTCTTTCTGGTAGCATCTATCCAACTTTTTGTTGTTGTTATTGAATTACTTTGTGCAAAAGAAGTTCCAATTGCATATATCCTGACTATGTGTGATAGTTTGAACTGATTGTTAATTAATTCTGTAAGTAATAGCTGCTGTAATCTCTATACTCATCAAGGTTTCATTCTGAGCCGATCTTTAACGTGTAATATAAGGCAGCTGCGACTGAGCAGGCAGGACTCCTGGGTGTGCAGGAAGATATCCTTGCTTTGCAGAGACTTCAGAGCAAACACACACACATCTGTAAAGCTTTTATTCGCAGGATTGGGTGTGGGGTACTTGAAACATTATGGGATTAAGGGTGAAGATTGTTGTGCTGATACACAGTCTCAGCAAATAGCAGGGAGGGATAAAAGCTAAGAATAAAGCAGAGAAAATGTTGAACAATATATGGGACAAGTTTAAAAAATAAGCTTTTAGAGTCCGACAGCTAGACAGGCTCAAATACCAGTTCCCCTATTCACTAACGAGGAGACCTTGTGCAATGTCCTCAAACAAACTCTTTAAACCATGATTACTCTCATGCCTCTGTTCAGTGGGGATACCAAGTCATGCATTTGTCATCTACTCATGGAGCCTAATAATATCCACCTCCTGGAGTTGTGGTGATGCTTATGTTAAATATGATATATCCAAATGGTAACATAAAATATATTCTACAGTGTGTGTGCATGTGAAGTCGTGTTTTCAACCTGGTGGTTTTTCCCCACAGAGGGGAACTAGCAATAACTGGAGACAGTGCGAGTGTCATAAGCAGTGTGGGGAGACAAAGGTGTGCTGCTATCTATTGAGTTCTGGAGGAAGGCTGCAACACGCCTAACAGCCTCCCAGGGAAGAATTATCCAGCCCCAATGCCAACAGCGCCGAGGTTGAGAAATGGTACTCTATCATTTGACCCTGTGTTTGTGGTATCAGCTGGTTCCTAGATGCCTTGGTGCCTCCATAAGATAAACTTAGTGATGTGATGACAATGGAGATAATAAAAATACTAAGTTTATCTTTCTTATTTAATCCCCGAAGCATCCAGGAACCAGCTAATATCACACATTATGCTGGGTCCCTCTGGTGGTTGGAGGAAGCTTTGAAATTCTCAACCTTCACCCAATTCTATCAAGTCCTCAGTATTCTTCTCAATTGCTGGTAACACACGTTTTCCTTCCCTCCTCTTTTGACCCTATTTGATACACCTCTGTTCTGCTTCTCTAACAGCCTAGATTTGAAGTGATGTTTCAATTCCTTTCCTCTGTGCCGCTGGCTTTGTGTGTTTTCACTGTGGTGTAGACACTCTGAAAATAAAAGCTGCGTGCAGAATCAGAGACAAACAAGAATTATCTAAGGCAATTCTGTCCCATACTGCTCCCTCTGATGCAGTTGGTAATCTTCAGAAAGCAACCATCTCATGATTCATTTCTAAAATTCACTGATGCACCAGTCAGTGGACACTCCCTCGCCTTCCTTCACTCTCGAGGTAAGAGCTGCTCATGCTCAGTCCATCTTTGTTAAGTTTTCATATATGCTTTGAATCATACTGAGGAACTTGTCTTCTGTTCCATCTCTTCTTTAGGGTTTTATCAAGTGTGTAAGTCTGGGTAAACTAGGAAAACAAATCCACAGAAACATATATATATATATGAGTGTTTTTATATCAAGGGTAAGTGTACATTCAGAAAACATCCCAACCCCTTCTAGTCCAAGCCCATAAGTCCGACTTAGCCCATATGTCCGACACCAATCTACAATGTCTTCCTCGAACTCACAAAACACACACCATGATGCCAAATGCAGGAGGATCACAGGCCAGTGGGTAGGAAGTCTTTGAATCCAGTGGCGGTGTAAGCATCTCAGCACTGGCAGGGGTCTCCACGTGGGTG